ATGTGTATCTAAAAACAAAAATATTTTAATGCTTTTTATTTGCTCATAACATAATATGTATAGTTTCCTCCCCCAAAATTTTTAAAAGTCTCATCCTATAACATTATTATAAATAGTCTATGACAAATTTATAGATCAAAATAACTGTGTTATTTCCTTCTATTTATTAATTTTGATCCACACATATGTACACACAAACAACCTGTGAATAAAGCTAGATAGATATGTAAATAGAGATATAGACATATATGCAGACATATAGATCTATAGATATTGATTTAACTTTGTAAAACTAAGTTTTCCTAAATGTTTCATCTGTGGATTTTTTATCATTAAAGTAAGTAAAAGATTTTAATATCTTGTAAATTACTTGTATTCTGAAGAATTTATAAAAGTAGGTATGAAAGAATGTTTTGAAAAAAATGATTCTGGCACTTACATAAAATTATTATAGTACCCTGCTTCAGGAAAAAAACAACAAAAAAAAACATGTGGAAACAAGGTCTAGGAAAAACTCCCATTGAGAACTTTTAGTTATAATGTAATAGTTTCATTAAAATAGTGCTATAGTTTTGCTCTTTTGCCCCAGGAAGTGAATTACTGGTTCTCATTTACATAGACAGTACATGGTTATGTGCATTGTTTGTTGTTTCTTTCAAAATGACTTCCACTTAGTACTGTGGATTTTGCATTATTCTCCCAAGATCTTGCTTCACTACATGTGAGAAAAAGGGCTGATAATGCATTGGATAGTCTATTAATAATATATGAGTTGTGGTAAGTACAGCATGTATCAATAAGAAATCCATCAGGTATATCTACTTTTCCAGTGCACCTAGGAATATATTTAACCTTTGAACTCAAACATTAAGGATGAATTATTAGTTACTAGCATTTCCATTTTAAATTGAAATAAGTGAGTTAAAAAATACAGTGTATTCAGTCATGTTCTTCTGCACTGTGGAAACACTTCCCAAAATTAGACATGAGTGGCAAACACTCTCATCCACACTTATGAAATAATCATACGTTCTGGTGTTTTGTAATTAGAAACATTCCAAATTTTGTTCTCATCAAAAAAAACAGAATGCATGAGCACGGTATTCCTCTTGTAATTGATTTTTGGTTTGCCAAATTAATGATATAGGAGAAAAATAACTTTGAATGTCACCTTAAAAAATATTTACCACTTCTTCTTTCACCTCTCATCCTAAAAATAAAAAAAAAAAATTAAGAAATGAGAGTACATATAGCAACTGACAACAGCATTGCCTCACGATCTCTTTTCCCTGCATGGACAGTGAAATCCATTATCATGACTCCTATATTTGTCTAGGTGTTTCTCAGTAGGGCTAATAAAATAATCTCTTGGTTGGGCTCCAGAACCTGCTTTTATCCCGGCACTCTGCACCTGTAATGTGGCTATAAGACCATCTCTAACCAATGCTGCATTTAGAGAGAAGTACACTAACACGTTAGGAATGCGGTAAAAATATGTAAAAGTGTGATAGGGACACTCTGCACTTTGCACTCCTTACTGTATTTAAAGGAGGAGAATAATGGAGCTTCCAGGCCCAGAAACTGAAGTAACTTATGAGAGATGAAACTTTCTCAAGACATTAAAAACAGTATAGGAATTCTTTCTATCTATCTATCTATCTTGCCATCTATCTATCATATAATTACCTATTTATGTCTATCATCTATTGTCTATCGATCTACTGATCTCACTACACATCCATTATTCATCTATAACTATCCATCTATCCATCCATCAATATTACTAATATAACTTTCATGACAGCATGCTATATTTGCACATAATGTTGACAAATTTGCATATACCACTGGACATCTTTAGTTATGTAACCCGATCTTTTAAAACTTGTTTCCTCGTACGTAAATACAGAGTTGAAAGCAATTCAGTTTGCTTTTGTAAAAGTTCTAAAGTTTTATGTAAATGCCTAAATAAGATAACCTTATGGATATTAATACAATTATTTGAGATCTATTTGGAAATAAAACTCATTTTAAAAATAAATATGCTAGATACAGAGAAATAAATTGTTTTACATTAGGAAACATGTCTTAGAGTCTTAATTAAAAAGGATGACATTACAAATTTAGCATCAGTTAAAAAAAAACTATTTCAAGTCTAGGACCTGTTGGTCACATTCAGCTTGGCTTCCTTTCAAGGAAACTTAACTTTACATAGATTATTTAAGAAGTAAAATACCCAAGAACCTATGTATTTTGTGACAAAAGCCTCACCAAGTAACCTTATGCTATAGCTAATATACTTATTTTTACATATATATGCACATATTATATCTATCTATACATATTCTTATATGTGCATAAATACATATCCTTAAATACGTGTATATTTAAAATATTATATATGACATTTTCCATGTATCACACCTTTTTCATATGTATATTATATTTAAATGTACATTTGAGTAAACAAATTTAGAAGAAATCAAAATAATGATAAGTTAAACTGAAGCACCTGTGCTAATATCAAATAATGTCCCACATAGCCCTTTCTCTTTCATTGAGAGCAAGTTACAGGTAATGTTCATTTAATGCAATCCCTATGCATTTTCTTAAATTAATTTTCATCTTTATTTGTTCTCACAGAATATGTTGCCATGTTACTCATATATTTTGTATTATATACTTTTAGGCATTCAGCAAAGCTTTATGAATAGATACACTCATATACTTTAGAAAAATTTTGAGGAGAGACCATCCTGCCATTACTGATGCCAAAAGACAGATTCACAAGTAGGAAAGAAAAACCTCCATTTATTTTTTTAAATCTCACTTAGAAAATATATTATGGAAAGGTTATTATATTCACTAAGCTTTTCCTCTAAGGCACTACAGCAATGTTTTCAAAAAATAAGAATCGTGTCCATGCAAGGTGAGATTGGGAAAAGCTTCTGACTCACACACAACCTCACGTTCAAAAATATAATGCCAACATCAACTTTGAATTGTGGTCTGACTAGACACAGGTAGTGGTATAAGGCAATTTTTCAGGTAGTCATTCAGTGAATGCAAGAATGGGTAATTATATAAACCATTTCAGATCTTTTTTAAACTACCAAATAGGATAACTGAAAGGAAGATACAGTTTTCTAATCTGGAAAATGATATACATTATGATTTTATTATTAGTACTGCCAAATATATTTCACTTGAAGTTACTGCATTACTTTTGAATTGCTGTTACCATCGGCTTACTTAAGAGCATTTTTCTATTCATATTTTCAGAATTAGATTTGCTTATAGCACATTTTTATTAGACATTTTTTAGTTTTTCAAAATGTATACATACAAATTTGATAGTATTTCCACATGTCAGCATGTATCTATTAAATCATGCAATTACTTATGTATTCTTAGCTAAAGAAAACTTTACTTGAACCCATATTTTTGGTGACAGGACTACAAACACACTATGTGGATTTTACATCCAAGTTCTTTAGTGCTATGTGCTGGATTAGCAGATGATTTTAATTTCTTTGTCTTTCAAAAGATTTACTGTTCAAACCAGCATTCACCAGTTCCCATTATACAATGTGTTCCACAATTGACGTAGCATTGCCTAGGCAGTGAATCAGTGATTGAATCTGAATATAGCATTTATCCATATTGAATGCAGGACATTTTATACTTTTTCCCCAAATTAAGTACCTTGCATATGGGTATCCCTTTACACTCATGATAAAACCAAAGGCAGCCAAAAGATATTTTCTTCCTCTTTCACAAAAGTTACCACTTTTTTGATCTCACAATATCACTAATTCTTTATGCTACACAGAATTTAGCAGTCTTGCAAAAAAGCAGTTAACAATCTCATATATCTACAATATAACATAATAAATTACAACAACTCCACAGAATGAACTATATTTTCTTGAATCTATAGCTCAACACATCCTTATGAAAAAGTTCCTCATATAAATTAATATAAACTTGTCTACTAGAGTTGACAACTTTCTTCTTCCTGTATATTTACTGTTAAGAAAAGTGTTTCTGTAAACTTCATCCCATTAAAAGTATCTAAGTATAAATACTATATATAATTGTGATGTGCTGAGAAGTAAAATTCATTAAGAATTGTTGAGATTAGTATACATGCATCAATGTAATTGATATAAGTGGTTATACTGGAAAACATACAGCAAAATAATACAATTCTCCATCAAAGCATTGCATTTTCCTCATTGCCCCAAATGTTTAAAATGCCAGTTTTGTTTTTGACACATTCAGTTTCCTGTGGTTTTCACCAAGGCTCCATTCCATTTACATACATTTGCCAATTACTGTCAAAGTGTCTAAATTTGTAATATTGACATGAGAGAGATTCATAACTACTGAAGAAATTTCCTTTCACTGTGTAAATGCACAACTTAAGTATTAGCCAGTGCCTTCTGCATGTGCCACTTCTACTACTTATGTATTATTTTATTTTTAAATATTGAACATAAGCCACTTCTTAAATTACAAAGATGCCATTATTTTTGATAGCTCTGACTCAAATTATTTAAATAAAACTTACGAGACTGCTAGAAAGCCATTTCAAATTAACATACTAAAAATGAACATAGACACATTCATAAGTGAGAAATTCAAAGCTCTCATACTCAACTAATAAAATCTGAAGTTTAGTTTTATTTTTATAATAATATTTCATATAGAAATTTGAGGACTACAGAAAGAGATTGGATAGGGATCAGGGATTTTAAACTAGGATCCGAAGCCAATATTGTGTATTTTCGCAATGGCATTTAAATTTGAATATTTTATTCAAACGATAAAATGTATTCTTACCTGCTTCCAGAAAGAGACAGAGAGACAGAGAGAAACAGAGACAGAGACAGAGAGAAAGAGAGACCTAGCAACTAGAAGCAATATTTGCACTAGTTCACTGTAAATAAGCAAAAACTGAACCGCTTATATTGCTAAGCAAAGAAAGTACCACTTACGTTATTTAGCAGCAGAAGTGACTTTAGCCTTGCTCAGCACTGACAATTGCGCTGTTGCTTCTGCCTCATTCCTTCTCTTTTCTTTTTATGGTATCTTCACAGCGGAATCTTCACGCATCTCAGTGTGCCTCTCTCTCCAGCATCACTTTTAACTCAGGCAGGCAGGAAGCTGAAGCCAGAGGAACTCTTCTATCTGATTGGTTTCCATTCCGTGTTCCTGATTAATAAGAGACGTTCTTCAGAAAAGAAGATATTGCAGCTGATGGCGCTGCAGGGCTCCAGGCTGGGGTTTGGGGGAGTAAATACTTCTTTGGGCACAGTGATTTGCAAGCGAATAAAATGGGAGGGCTCAGAGAAGAGGCATTGTCAAAGACCCTTATGAGAGAAAATAACACAGTGCTTTTAGTCTTTCTTAATCAGCTCTGCTTAATCTGTTTGTAATTGGGAGAAAAAGGTCACACCGTGTCTGTAATGTGTAAATCATCTGTAGAAAATATCACATGGACAGTGCTGTTTTTCAAAAGAAATTTTGTGTATCAGACCTTTTAGGTATTCACTGTTCCTTATTTCCTTGCAAAATTCTAATTTTAAAGAAAAAGAAAGAATCCCACATATATTCATCCCTGAGAGTGATGAATTTTTATCTATGTCTTTACGGGTTAATGATGTAAAATAATCTTTCAAAATCTGTGTTTGAAAAACATCTCATAATTGATGTCTTGACATGTTCTTTTTAAGTAAAAGAAACAGTTTCAATTCTTGTTTTGAACGTCTAAAATATTTTGCTTCTTCCTTAATAATGCAATTGGAAATTTTCACTCTTTTTCAGAATGGCTGAAAAATAATAGTCACATAGCCTTAAAACCAGACTCATGATCCACCTGTTTGAGTTCCTGCTGTGCATTGTACAACTCTTAGAGAAGGTAAACCAAAGCAGCGAAGCCCTGCTTCAGAGGGGAAGTGTTTTTAGTGCTTCTGGAAATGGCACAATAAGAATGGTATTGATTAGTAAATAAATCTTTCTGAAAAGAAGTTCAAGTAATAGTTGTATGAAATGCACGGTGGGAATAGGGCTCACTTTATAACAGCTCGTTAAGTCACAGCAAGTAAATAGCTTAAGTGCCAAAAAATATCAATATCTTATTTGGTGCTTCAAAGGGAAACAGACAATAGAAAAAGTAAAATTTCCACTTTTTTCAAACAGTGAAGCTAAACCATGCAGTGTAGACTGTAAAGCTGTCTATCTGAGGGTTCTGCATTATAGAAATTTAGTTCTCAAAATAGAAAGCAAATGTTCAGAAAAATAAAACTCTACACATTCCCAAGTAAACTGTGACATCATTAATGTGTGGTGACCAAACATGGAGGTAAGGGTTTTTAAATAATTGTGAATTTCTTGGTAGTAAAAAAGCAAATTTTAATTTGTCTGTCTACAGCTGAAGTCAGGTAAAGAGGAAAAACTTTCTGCATATTTCCAGAGCTAGAAAGATTCAAATGGTTAAGACAGTTTAGTGAATTCTTCATGGAGGCTGAGTGTTTTCTTGAGGCAAAGAAACCTAATTTAAAATTCACAGACTCCTTCAGACTTATTTCTCCCAGGTCTGCTTGTTTCTTTAAATAAAACCTACATATTATAGAAACCTCTTTGTTAATACTGAGATAAAGAACTATATGTAAAGTGGGGAAAAGGAGCCAAACAAAATATTTTAGCACAGTTTAATGTAAATATTCACAAATAGAAGCTTTAAATCCCTGATGTTGCCTACATTTTATTTCCCACTGAAACTTAACTGTTGGGAAAAACTGTTTTGTGTGAAATCCACAATCCAACAGAGCATTCTGTAACTTAAAGGTATTTTTACTAATCCTATAGAACAGGAAACAGTGTTGTCAAGTTAAAAAAAAAAAACAAAATAAAACAAAAACAGGTAACTATCTCACGAGTCTTCCACCTCTCTTTGGTTTGTGAGATTACTCTTTGAAAACAGAAGAAATAAACCTTAAAATTGTCAGAAATCCTTTTAAGTCATGGTACAGCTATGGAATAATTTAAAATATAAGTAGCACTGCATATCAAGAAAACTAGTTTCACACATACACAGTAAGAAAACAATTTACAATTGAGCTACACCCCATTTGGAAATTAGCTTTTAATGTGTGAAGTAATGAATGTGGATATTCAGCAAACAGGCTTCCATAAATATATTGCCATCATTATTTTCTGTAGCAAGAATCTATTTTATATTTCTGTAGTAAGAATCTATTTATATTTAGACACCAAAATTAATTCACATAAATATAACATACAACTTGTAATATTATTTTCAAAATTAGTTGAATTATTTTCTTAATTATTGCTCATTAAAATATAATTTATTTAGAAATCATTTTATTTCTTTGATATTCAATATATTTTCATGTTGTAGCCTCCAAATGCTATTTAAAACAATTGCTGCATCCTTTCTATAAAAAGTAATATTTCTTCACATTTTATTACTATAAGTAGTATTCTAATATATTAGAATCCTTTGCAAATTTTGGAGAAATAGAGCAAAAGCACACAAGGCACCATGCTAGTTATTTTGTATTGAAATTGCAAACTAAAATGAATGAGTTAGTGAATGAAGTAAACATTTCCTCCAAATGAGATTTTAGCATACAATCATTCTGGAAGTCATCATATAGGCCCAGGTAGACATGAATATTACACTTGCAGAAAAACAGAAGTGCCTTGTGCTATAATTTAACTTATAAAACCCAACCTGGGATCTAAGACCAACATGTACACCTGATAAGACCAATTCACCCCTTAGCAAAGCTAAAATATTTTGCTAAACAGATTTTACCTGAAATAGTTATGAATAGGCCTTCAGCCTCACAAATTTCCTCCTATAACCTGAAGTTTTAACTCTGCTTAGAAATTAAGGAAGAAAACAAATTTAGAACTACACTTGTATTTCTATCAAAATTTCACAGAAGTTCAGGTTTCTATAATCATCTACCAAAACCATGATTATTAACATTGCATGCTTTGGATTCTATTCAAATTTCAGTGGGATATCCTTAGATCAACTGTGACCCAAAATTGAGCTCAGCCTGACATCACAACATTCTGTGTGTCTTTTTTTTCCCCAACATTTGCTTAAGCTTCCTGCTCTAACGTTAAACTGGTTGTTGTCTTGACCACATTTTCTTTTTTTTCCTTCGATGATTCCTTACAGTACTTGGAAAGATAACCTATCAATAATAGTATCTGCTGCTTTAATCATAGTACCTCTATAGTAAGTGTTCCTAAATAACATCAAATCTTCTTTTACTAATTTTCATGAATTCTTAAAGGTATAAATCTATTCAACATGAAATATGTTGAGCAAGAAACATAAATTAGTTGATTTTCTTCTATATGGACTGAGTGCATCCTACTCCATGACAGAGTGGTCTTGAGTATAATGTCTCATTACTTGCTGTGGACTTATATAAAGTATCTTAGAGTCATTTTTGCTACAACTATAGACAAAGATACTGACACTCATATCATTCTAACATTCTGAAGACCTGTTATTATAAGGAGATACAAGTCTCTGTCACTATGCCTTATTTTCTCTAATCTAAATCCAGTCAGAAAATTGGTGTTTTAGTTTTTGATATAAATTTGTATCTAATCTGAGTTTCTGTGATAAAACTAAGGCAAGCTCTTTTTACCCACCTTCTCAGAACCTGGAAGAGGAATTGTCTCATACTCATGGATCCTTACATAGATCACATTAATATCTTTAAACATAATGCTGTGATAAAATTCCCCAAATGTTTACTGAACTGATCTGGGTTTATGACAGGTAATTTTTAACTCTTCTGTGAGGAAAGACTAAAAAGGGGTATTAAATATATGATGACTGGAAGAATGAAGAATTTATAGTTTCCAAATTGAAGAAACAATGAACAACGTGAAGTAAAATATATATCCCATTTTCCTGATTGTATGTACATTGTTTCACACATAAAGAACAATATACAAAACACATTGAGTTTAAAGAATATAAGGGAATAAACATGTGTGTCCAATGCAAGTTTGAAACATTGCTATTACTTATAAAACCTATTTCCTCTACCCATACTACATATCTCCCCTGTGCCTTAAAAGTAATAGGGCACCAAATCAAAATATCAAGAGCATTCCTCACAGAAATAGAAAGAGACAATGTTAAAGTTCATATGGAACCAGAAGAGATGCAGAATAACAAAAATCACCCTGAGCAGCAAGAACAAAACAGGAAACATCACAATTCTGAAATTCAACTATATTACAAAACGACAGTGATAAAATAGCATGGTATTGACAGAAAAACAGATGAGCAGAACAGGACGGAGGCTGCAGAAACAATCACAGGCACATTCAGCAAGTGATCTGTGCTCCACTGGATAAACAGTAACTTCTTTAATGAATCATTCTGAGAACACTGGCTATGCACAAGCAGGGTGCCTTATCTCTTGCCTTATAAGAAAATAACATCAAAATAGGGAAAAAATTTAACATTAAAACAGAATCACTTTTCTAGAAGATAAAATAGATACAATTCTTTAAGCCACGGCATGAGGCAGAACTTTTTGAACATAATCCTGGCTTCATAAAGAAAACATCAAGAATCAACAAAAGGGATCATAGCACAGAAAAAAGCTTCTGTAAAGCAAAGGATCCAACCCACAGAATGAAGAGACAATCTAAGAATGGGAAAAATTTTTGCTACCTAGTCATCCAACAGAAAACTAATATCTAGAATATATTAAGAATACCAAAAAAATTAGGTCCCTTCAAGTTAAAGTCCTAATCAAAAGAAAGGCAACTGAAATTTATACTTATTCTTAAAAGAAATGCTTACTATCTTTGGCTTTCACACAATTGCAGATTCAAACAGCACTGAGATTCCACTTTACATTTGTTTTTTTTGTTTGTTTGTTTTTGTTTTTCTCCGGTACCGGGAACCGAACTCACGACCTTGCGCTTGCCAGGCAGGCGCTTTTGCCGCTGAGCTAAATCCCCAGCCCCTACATTTGTTTACCATCTAGAATCAAATAAATTTTGGTGAGGCTTCTGTTTGGCAAATAAATTACACTTCTGTTGTGCAAATAAACTATTAAAACCACTATGAAAATCAGTAAGGGGATTATTCACACAAAGAACCCTAGTAATAGAAATTCCTTTCACACCAATTATTTACATTCTTGGAATCATGCTAAGAGATTTAATGACATCATACT